CACTCCCCTGGCATGCTATCTCTCTATTTGGCCGATTTGGCTTCTTTCAATGCCGCAGAGGGACAAGGGCAGGAGTTTTTGCAGTGGAGAGAAGGTTTCACGCGAAACCTTCTCTCCGTGGCAAAAACTCCCTCGGCAGCAAAATTGTCCCTCCGCGGCATATTACTCGTGTTGCTCACAGAAAAAAAAATAACACTGTTCCCCAACAAGTCTGCGAAGGAGGCTAGGCCTTTTAGTTCTTCGCAATCCAGGTCGAATGAACCTCTGCTCTGAATTCAGAGTCTTCCTAAATGTTGCCTTTCCTCAGTGTCCCTTCATTTCTACTCTACTTCAATCATTTCTGTTTCACTCACTTCTCACACTCTCACTCACTCTCGCTCACTCACTCACTCACTCACTCACTCACTCACCCACACTCACGCTCGCTCACTCACTCACTCACTCACTCACACTCACCCACTCACTCTCACTCACTCACTCTCACTCACTCACTCACTTCTCACCCACACTCACGCTCACTCACTCACTCACTCACTCACTCACACTCACTCTAACTCACTCACTCACTTGTCACCCACACTCACGCTCACTCACCCACTCACTCACTCACTTCTCACTCACTCACTCACACACTCAATCACTCTCACTCACTCACTCACTCACTCACTCACACACTCACACTCTCACTCACTCACTCACTCTCACTCATGCACTCACTCACTTCCCTACCCTGATATATAACCTATAGTAAACATTTGTCAACCAAATATGACAAAGACAAGGTTGTTTAAACTTGGGAAGACTTTTTTTTTCTTTATTGCGAGATGACGAAGGCTGATCATAATACTGCACATTCATATATTCTGTATATGGCTTACGCAGCCATAGGATACATGGTGAAATTTCTATGTACTGTAACACATGTACATTTCTATTACATTTCTGTGTATTGTAACATATGCAATGTTACATTTCTACACGTATGTACGGTAACATATGCATTTCTATGTACTGTAACATATTACATTTCTGTGTATTGTAACATATGTAACGTTACATTTCTACAGGTATGTACGGTAACATTCTTATTTACACATCCTCTTGTCTACACATATGTACATGTCAATATATATGTTATATTACTGTACAATATATACAATGACAATATTGTATTTTACCCTGGTACTCACAGTACAGTGAGGCGTACTGCTAAGATCTAAAAATTTAAGGTCTTACTAAATTGTTGTTTGACAAATATTTGGATTCCAAATTGACTGTACACATCAGATAAGCATGAAGTACAAAAATAGTGCCATCATCTATACATTTGTATATATAAATATGTCATACATAAGGTAATATGACTGCCATAATCTCAGAAAATTACTAGTATACCAGACATTAGTACATTGTGCCATCATCCAAGCAAAAGTAATGGGTGAGTGTAAAAATAGATTTTGACCATTTTAACATTGTTCAAAGAAATTTCCCCCCAAAAAAGGAAAAATTTGGGTTGGGGAACAGTGGACTGGTGTTTGGAGCTTGATGTTTGGGTGTGTGAGAAGAAAAAAAAATTGAAAAGAAAATAAGTTAAAACAAAAAAGACAAGAAGTAACCAGTCCAGGAACCAGTCGCAAGTTTGGCCACTGACAATAAAAATGGAAAAGATGGAAGAAAATGGAGAAAAGATGCTACATGAAAATGTTTCGTCACAGATGGCACATGAGGCAAACCCACTTCAGTCAGAGAGGGCCACACAGTACATCTCCACTTCAGCCAGGGTGGTTCCAGATTGGTACAAGATCTCCCCACACAGACAGCACAGACACAAGGCCCTGCAGACTAGCCCTACCTCCCCCACTGCTGACAAGCGGACATGACTGTGGGGTCCGGGGAGGATGGGACCCATATCCCGACGTCAACTCCCCGGACTACAGAGTCATGTCCGCCAGATGGTGCAGTAGGAGGAGGTAGAGGTAGTAAGCAGGGCCGAGTGTGGACCGTCTGTGGAGTAGACCCCGCCCGCCCCTTCCCCACCCAGCTGCAGTGTAGAGTACTGTCTGGTCCGGTTAACTGGAGTGGGGCTGCTGTGAGTGCTCTATCAATCTGTGTTAAAGTCCACATGTTTCATGTGACATTTAGAGATAAAATAATAATAGAAATGATAATAATAATAAAAATGTGCAATTTTGCCGATAAATTGTATTTGGGGATGATGAACTTAACTTAAGTTTTACAATTACAATTTTTGTCCTTCCCAGTGTAGGATATCAAATTTGCGGTCGTGGTGTTTTTTTTTAATGTTTGGCTTCCGAAACCAAAATGGGCATGAATGTTTTTGAAATTTCTGAAATTTTAAAGAATTACAAATTTTGTATTAAAAAGATTTGCACACTCACCCACCCTTCATTGTCAATGATAATTAACTGACTGAGATGTGACTTACATCAAGGAGCTTTCATCACATGTGATGAAAGCTCCTTGCTTACATTGTGCAGTAAGACTCTACAATGACAGTGATTATAAATGGCTGATATTTGAAAACCCATGTCTGCTATTTCCTGTTGTAGAGTGAATGGTGTTTGTACATATTTGTATATAGTGTGTTTCTGTGTACTTGTCCTGTTTTTTTTAACCAATTGTAAACATTGAATACATAATTCAATAAAGTGCATTTGCATTTCCTGCTTTTGTACGATTTACGATTGAATAGATTGAAATGTTCACAAAATCTAAAGTGAGCTCACTAGCTGTAAGTAACAATACATTTGTTACAGTGTAAAAAATTATATCAATCACATTGGTATACATTTTTCTAACAGTCTGACATGTAAAGACTACACTGTCAAGTTTTACCTCACATAATGATGCCAATGATACAAAACAGTGATTTTTTTTGTTGTCTTCCCTAATTTCCCAGGCATTAAACTAACAATCAGTAGCCGTTCACGTAATCGGCTGCAAACCCAGTCCAGTTGTTCGGAACCTTTCGTGTGGGCTCCTCCCTGGGCTCGGTGGGCTCCTTCTTCTCCGGCTTCTCCCTCTGCTCTTTCAGAAGCTGGTACTACAAAAACAGTGAACAACAGAAATCTGTCTCAGTTCTGATCCAGAAAAACAATGAACAACAGAAATCCGTCTCAGTTCTGATCTGGTCTCAGCAAGGATTCAGGCAAAAAACTACATAATGAAAGTTTATTGCAAATACTTGCCCGAGGGCTAATTGCAGTTACAAACAACATAAGAAAGAAAACTACAGCGGTATATCTACCTCTAGCATTATACTATATTCTACAACATGCATGGTACTAGTTTTGCTGGGTTTGACTTCTTCATATTGTGCATGCACAGTTGTTGCGTAATCTGTTACCTTTATATAATATGTATGAGATCTAGTCATGGGAATTAGGATGAAACGTTACTCACCAGGTGAAGGCCTTCTACGCACAGAGCGCCGCTCGTGGTATAGATGGCCAGGTTCACCGCTGCCTTCTTCCAAACTGGAAGGAAAGTACACAAACTAATTGTAAACTCGCCTGAAACCACAATATATTGTTTCAGTGGAAGTACAGCACACATAAGAGTCTTTTGAAAGTTTCTTCCTGTATTATGAAGGACTAAGGTTTGGGTTCAATGTTCGGGTCACCAGGTGTAAGAAGTCCAAAAACCATGTAATTTAAACTTAAGCACCTGAAAAATTAGAGCGTCAACTGAGATAGAGATTGTTTTGACATGGGAGTAGAGCTCTAGAAAAAGTTCTTAACAAATACAGAATTTTAGCACTTATCCCATATGACTATCGGTTCTATACTGGCCAGACAAAACAAACAAACCACAGCATAACAGGAGATCTAGAAGAAGAGACCATCTTACCAGGATTCACCGTGAAGGTACTGAAGTTAGCAAATGCCTGGGCAGGTTGGACGGTGCCCAAGAAGCCGCGAACGGCCATCCTGCCCAGGCTGAACATTTATACTCTCCTGGGGAAGAAAGAAACAGACATCTTAAACATTCATTCAAAACATGAATAAACACAGTAGTTGTAACTAGTGCTGTGTACCGGTTCACTGGACCGGTTCTGAACTTGTAAAAATGTTTAGGTTCAAGTAAAATAAAATCTAAACTTTAGGTTTTTTTTTCAATGATGATTCACTAACCGATTCCGGAATGCATTTTTGTATATGCCATGGGTTTAGGTCCGGACTTTAATACGAGTCCGGAACTGAACCTAAACCTCTGGACTTGAATCCGTACCTGAATCTAAATGTAGGTTTAGGTACTCAGCACTAGTTGTAACAGTGTGGATGAAACAGCCATCTTCCTATGACTACATCTGATTATTCAATAAACCTATTCCCTGACATTATCAGTAGTTTAGATTATGGGGAAAGTTCTGATATTGATAAAGTAATTTACGAAGCCCCCCTCCCCACCACCGCTGCAAAGCTAGCGAGTCAATCGGGTTGTCTGCCTGTGTAGATGTGTTGACTGTGCGGTTAGTTTACTTACTGACCTCCGTAGCGTTTCAATACTTCGTTTGCTGTGCCAACAATCACGAAAGGAATTCTTTATGAATCATTATGACCTACAGAAAATTCCTAAATCAACTATTCGGTAAAAAAAATCCTGGCCCTCCCCAAAACCACCCTTGGATTTCGTTGGAAAAGAAAACTGCAGACGTCGCGGAATTTTCACCTAAACGTACGGTAAAACTCCGGTAGTTGCTGCTAGAAATGCCTGTGAATGTTTTAGGAACATCGTAATATCTGTAAAACTTACAGAACAGTTGTTGATTCAGTCA